AATCAGTGACACCTCCTCCACAGTTAATTAGTTTAGGAAGTATCTTCACCACAGTAGACTGATAAATTGCTGGAGGGAAACTCACTCAGGAAAGTGAATTTGTACACTGTAGTGAGTGTGCTCTATTTTTTTTTTTTTTTAATAAGGCATTTGGTAACATTTCTTCACAAAAGGGGACTATACACATTAAAGATAATTAGTTTAGATGAAAGTTTTTGGATTGCACATTGGGCTGTCATTTGTACAGTCATATTTATAAATATATATTACCAGATAACTGTTTCAACTTGCTCTGTAAATCTTTTTATGAACTTATCAGATTCCCAATGTCATATTTTTTTCTAGGTTTTCTTTCTACCTCAAATCCCTTATACACCTAATTTATTTTCTAGGTTACCTCTGTACTCTGTTGACTTCTATAACACCCTTCTTTAAAAAAAGATGCCCAAAACTGCAACACTTAATCAGGAATTCCCATTAATTAATAAAGGCAAGATTATAGTTTTTTTCCCCCTAAATGAATACCCTTCTTTGCATGAGAACAATATCTTGTTGGCCTTGGAAACTGCAAGAGCTTCTTTAAATTCCACCGAGTATGCTAGGATGGTGCTAGGGCACTTATGGCTTCATGATCTCTAAAGCAGGCTGTAGTGGTTATGGTGCTTGGTGTGTTCCTTTAGTACTGAGAGATAGGTGAACGTACAGACTACCTGGAAAACAAAACAGAAGAGATTATCTCAGCACACAACAACGTGGCCATGGCCTGTGAAGCTATGGACGCAAAATTAACTTCAGTCATCACAAAGTTGGCGGACCATGAGGATAGAGACCGACGGAACAACATCCGCATGCGCGGTATCCCTGACGATATCAGCCCTAAATATCTGGGCACTTATGCTAAAGAATTGTTCCACCTATTAGCACCAGACCTTCAAGAAGAGGCATTACTCCTAGAGAGGATCCACCGACTACCCAGGCCTAAACACCTCCTGGCCTCCATACCGCGAGACACGATCACCAGACTGCATTATTATACTACTAATGAAACAATAATGTAGGCATCAAGACGCCAACCAACACTCTCAGACAACTATAAAAAGATCCAGCTGTTTACAGACCTCTCGGCCACGACACTAGCGATGAGGAAATCATTCCAACAAATTACTAAAGCCCTGAGAGAGGCTGAAGTATCATACAAGTGGGGTTTCCCAACGAGGCTTATCGTCCGACACAATGGAGCCAAACATCACCTGCTCACTCCGGAAGAAGGGAAGAAAACCCTGGCCTCGTGGAACATCCAAATAGAAGACATTGAACCTAGAGGCACTACCGAGCCTCAAGCTATTATCTCACCAACAAAACTTATCCATGACTGGAAGACCTCAGCCACAGCTAAGTGACCCACTCACATTGTTTCTGCAGGGTTTCCCTAATACTAACTTCACCTGGGGCCCAGAGAACTTGTAATGTTCGCTACTCCAACCTGACTGTTAATTATCATTTACTCGTTATGTTATTGTTATGTATGTGATATAGGGAAAGGGGAGTACAATGGGCAGTTCTCAAACCCATTTCACTGATCTCGGTGCAGCCTTAACAAACTGCACAAGGAAACATAGGCTCATTAAAATGCATCCATTGGGCAGCTACCCCCCTCCCCCAGCCCGGAGGGAGACATTGTAGCCCACAATTCCCCACTGCGGGAACAGTTTAACGTTAGGTGACATGGTATGTAATCACTTTATTAAGTCATATATTGATGGATACTTCATTGGGTTTTTTTTTGGTCGTTTGTTATATTTCTTTTCTTATACACTACATTGAAGGTATAAATCCCATCTTTAATGCATATGAACTGACCACAGTAGCCATGACACATTGTGGCATAGACCGCGGGAGTTCTTATCTTTAAATGCCCGGTACCATTAAAAATCAAGAGAACTATCACCCCCCAACAACTGAGCTATAAAAGTCCGATGCTGATACCCCCAAATATACATCCTGCACAATATTTAAATGATGCGAGCAAAAAGCATACCATGACATAACTTCCCTACAACCCACAAACGTTATAAAACAATAAAAATGTTTTTTTTTAACAAAATAACAAAAACAAAGGGGAGGGGGGAAGGTTGGGGAAATGTTTACAATACTACTGTAATGTGCTTAGATGTACTAGCTGTGTTTTGCTATTATGCACTGTAAGGCAGCACTTAACCTACTATACATGCAATGAATCACAAGATCAGATTCACCCCCTCACCCCCTCACAGAAAGAAAGACACGAATTCAGCAGCCAATCCCCCCCAGAATTACGAGTCACCCTTTAGAGGGACTGCATAACGACTCTCTCCCCCCACGGGCTTCAATGCCCAATTGTCACTATGACATTTCGATCCCACCAGGGCGACCATACTACTGTATATAGTTTTACCCAGGTTATTTGTTCCCCCTTCCACCCGGTTCTCTTCCCCATCAAGTCCCCACACAGTCAACAAGACATGATCTTGCACACTTTACAGGCTTCTGAAACTAATTTACATGTGCATCCACAACCGTTCCAGCTTCAATCACAAATTGAGACCCATCTAATACACCAGAGACATACAGGTACCCATATGGTTCTTTACTATGGCACTTAATATTTTTTCTCTAAATACTAAAGGTCTCAACTCCCCCCATAAAAGATGAATGGCACTCCAAGAAGCCAAACAACTTAAAGCACATGTTGCATTCTATCAAGAGACGCATTTTCAAACGGCACACCAACCCAAATTCGCATCCACATATTTCCCACATACAGGAAAAAGAAAAGGGGAGTTACAATCCTCACAAGCAACGAAGTCTCCTTCCAGTTAATCAAAAAAGTGAGCAACAAAAAAGGGTGATCTTACAATGTATAATTAACTACGCTAACTACACCCTAGTCAACCTATATGGCCCGCACAATAACCAGCATACTTTTTTGGACCATGTTTTAACCCTTACTAATGCACATAAATATGGAGAAATCCTAATTTGGGGGGATACCAATTTCCTCATAGACCCAACATTAGACACCACCTCATCGTCTCAAGTGACACAAAAAACGATTCACCGGAGACAACGCGCAGCACCGCTGATAAAAAACACTCTCCTCACCAATGGATACACTAATATATGGAGGTCCTTACATCCCCTGGAAAGAGATTATACCCACCACTCCCTGGTACATGATACATATTCAAGAATCGACCGCTTTCTCATCCCAACGACCCAGACAGCACAAATCACCGGAGCAGATATAGGAGTCATTTCCTGGCCCGACCATGCCCCTATTACAATATCAATATTAACACAATATCCGGTTATGGGTAACAGGACTTGGCGTCTTAATGACTCACTAGTTATAGACCATACCTTTGTCGCCCAAGTCAACAATTGGAAGCATACCTTGCCACTAACGCCACGGGAGACATTGATGTATGTACATTATGGCAAGCTCATAAAGCAGTCATCCGAAGCCAACTTATCAAACAAGCCAGCCGTGACAAACATCAACGAATGAAAGTTTACACAGACACGATCACGAGCTCACAAAAATCACACACTATCACAAAACAAATTCTCCACCTACAAACAAAACTGAGACATGGAGTTAGCCAAAACAACATACCTACTAACAAAAATGAAACATAAATTCTTTAAGGAAGGAAATAAAGCTGGCAAAATTCTGGCGACTCAATTAAAATCGCGAACATTGACATCTAAAATAGCATTTATCCACGACAAAGAAGGACAAAAACTCACTAACACACAAGAAGTAGTGGAGGAATTCGGTAGATACTACAGCGACCTATATATCCTAGCTCACAATAAGGATTCGCACCCACCTAACCAAGTAGAGATAGATAAATTCCTCCAGGATATAAATTTACCTACCCTCACGTCAGAGGAATGTCACATACTGACACAACCGTTTCAACCCCAGGAAATTAAAGATACAATCAAACAATTGCCGAATCATAAATCGCCCTGACCCGACGGGTTCACCAATTTTTATTACCATACTTTTAAACATATCCTAGCGCCCTATATGGCCAACTTATTTAACCGCTACTTTCAGACAGGCATCATGCACGCAGATATGTTGAAAGCACATATATCTACACTACCAAAACCGGGGAAACCTCCCACCCAATGTGCACATTTCAGATCTATAACCCTCCTTAATTGCGACATTTCAGACCTATAATCCTCCTTAATCACCCTCACCAACGGAACCCGATAGGGGTGCCCCCTATCCCCCCTCCTTTACATACTAGCATTAGAGCCATTAGCCGAAAAAATGAGACAGGACCCACTCATTACAGGCATCCAAATTAAGGGCACTAACTACTGAATGACCATTTTTGCTGACAACGTCCTACTATCCCTGAGTAAACCGGAGACATCCTTACCGTGACTTATGACCTTATTACACGAATTACACGAATACAGACTCATATCTTACTACAAGATAAATACTACTAAAACACAAGCTCTACCGATACACATACCCACACAACGTGTACAACAGTTACGCCTCACGTTCCAGTTTGACTGGAGGCAGAAACACATCACATATTTGGGGGTGAAGCTAGCCCTACACATGCCTACAATGGTGTCCCTCAACTATGGACCGCTACAACACACATGCAACTCAAATTTCCAGAGATGGAAGCAGGTTCAGCTGTCCTGGTTGGGCAGGCTTCACACAATCAAAATGGTGTTGCTACCAAAAATCTTGTATTTCGAATGCTACCTCTGCAAATCCCACCATGTTTTTATAATTGCTGCAAACAACCTTAAACAGATTTGTATGGGGTGGCACAAAACCTTGATTGCCCATCTCACTACTCCAAACCACTCAAGCAGAAGGGGTCTTAGGTTTCCCGAAAGCAATAACTTACTACGAAGCAGCCATTCTTGAGTCTGCAATACGCTTACACGCCCCTCAGCACACCTTCCAATGGGTCGATATGGAGAGAGACAAAGTACTTACACGTTCCCTATTGAACATAATGTGGTCACCGAACACCTTCCGAACAAAAAGGTTGCCACTATACCCTACCACAAAATTAACGATAAAGGTGTGGGACAAATTGCTAGCTACTAGAATGGAAAAAGGGAAATATTGCGCATATGCCCCCGTGGAGGTGATTGAAGAAGTATCGCAATGGCTGTCGCTCAAACCTTTGGCATCAAACGCATTAGAGACTAACATTTTGGCTTTCCCGGTACTACAAGAAAAATATAATTTACCTAACTCTCTCATCTTCCAGTACCTCCAACTAAAAAGTATCATACAAGACAAAGTAACCTTCCAGAAATTGGCACCTAAACCACAAGAGTCTTATGCACTGGCCCTTATTGAAAGATGTAATTTGGCTCCTACTAAATCTAAATCCTTATCCCTATGTTATAAAACTCTTTTAGACACCCCAACACCCCAATCCGTCAAATACGTGACCCAATGGGAACAAGAAGGCATATCTGGACTCACAGATGGAGACTGGTTGGGATCACTTAATGCACTAAAGGGCCTCACAACCTGTTTTTCACAAAAAGATAATATACCGATGGTACCTTACCCCACAAAGATTACAGCAAATTTACCCGGGCGCAAACCCCAATTTTTGGAGATGCGGATCCCATACAGGAACAATGATGCACCTATGGTGGGAGTGCAGTGAAATCAGACCCATATGGAAACAAGTACAAATGATTGTAACAAAGATATCACCCAATACCCAGCCTCTCACTCCACGAGTGGTCCTCCTGATGCTATTCCCAAACACATGGAAGACTGCAATGAAAAAAGGAATCTCAATTGTCATTTTAGCAGCAAGGAACCTTCTGGCAAGACACTAGAAAACCACTTACTGCCCCTCAAATAAAGAGCTGTCTGACAAGATATACCAGTACTATAGATATGAAGTGTTCTCCGCAGATTCCTATGAATCAGCCTAAAAAACTGAACAGTCGTGGGAACCGTGGATTGCCTTCCTAGGACGTCCCAAACCTAAAAAAGATAGATGAAGAAATAATTTCTGACCAATGAGAAAGAGGTGGAGCAGCTGAAAGGCTCAATAGAAAGAATAATAGTCGACAGAAGAAAAAACAATGACAAAAATAAATATTTGTGACACTGATGCACTCACACAACCCATCTAGGGCATCCATCATCGGATCCCCCCTGATATGTCAGCCCATCGTTACCTCGACATATACTAGACCACATAGAGCTAGAAAACACAGCAAACATAGAAAATGTGAATCCAACTATAACCAACAATTTACCCACACCTCTCCCCCCCCCGCCAACATGAGGAATGGGAGGGTAACCACACAAACTCCTGCCCAGGCGGGAGAATGACTTAGTAAAAAAAAAAATAATAATAATACATTTTTTTTTTTAAATCACACACACCCAGAACCATCTAAGAGGTCACAAAATACCACAACATGACTTACATTGCGTGACAAAACATATAGCTTAAGGGAAGAGTACTGAAGCATAAAGCTATATAAGACAATAATCCCCATGGTGAATTGTAATGTAATAACTAGGTCTGTAAGAGAACGAACTGGGGTGAGATAGTAATTGACAATCACAATGTAAGAAAATAGATGTCTACATAACAGTATAAAGATGTATATCGTGTATTCCTGTGCCAGATGGCCTTGGAGTGTGTTAAAGTGTGAAAACCAGGGACAATTCGCATAATGGACTTGATGCCCCTCCCCTCCCTTCTTTCCTTCTGTACCCCATATTTACTGCTTTTTGAAAACAATAAAAATTTAATTATTTTTTTTTTTTAAATGCAATAAACAATGTTGATCAAGTTAAAAAAACAAAAAATAAAACTGACAAATAGTTTGCACATGTGGAACCCAGAACTGGTGATAGGACCAACACTCAAAAATAGTGACTCCTATCAATTCATAGTCAAATAAACAGGCCTATGTGTATGATATGTAATTAATGACTCAAACTGTTGGCCAAATTGAGTATTGTAGGTTTGTGTGTCGGTTTTACTTTACTCTTTTATCATAGTGGAGATGGTAATACTTTTAATTTTAAGAATACTGCAACTCAGGTTGAAGTGTCTAATTAGGACTTCTTACATAGTGAATTACCATTAAAAATAAACAAACCTCAAAGACATGAGATTATGCCTCGGGAAATAAGTCTAATCAGCGTCCAAGCTATCAAATCTGTCTAAGTCAGACTCGGTTTTATAAACAAACCTTTTTGCTTGCTGCACATCTCTAATTTAAACAGTCATTTTAAATACAGTCTTATGTAGCCCAAAATATATAAGAATCCAAACATGTCTGGTTCTAATATAATCATAGGGCAATAGACGACACATTTAATATCTGAGTTTATCGGATATATCTTTGGGGATCCAAATGCAATAACAAACTAGCCTTATGTGGATTATAAATACGTTATTCCACTTATTCTTCCAAAATAATAATAAAAAAAAACACATTTTGACACATAATCTATCTCTGTTTGTCTAAATATAGGAAAACAGTATGTTTTCCCCAATAAGAAAAACTCAGGAAGAAAGAATAGAATGAAACTCCAGCAAATTTGCTAACCTGGTTCAAATATGTACAGTGTATTTATGCTCCTGCTCAAACATGCATATGCATTTTGTGCATAGCTAAATGTTATGTTATGAATTTACTTATACAAAAGAAGGAAAGTGTACTAGTTACTGTGAACATTGTATATATTACTGTTACTAAGACATGGCTTACACTTTTCTAGGGGGAATTTTACAGGATACTTTTATAAATTAAGCAATGAATATTTGTTATCCAAGATCAACAAAACTCTAAACTGCATGCATAATAGTATTTTGTTTACAGGATTAAAGATTAAAATAACACTAGCCATATTTTACAGAAGGCAAATATTGCTGTATCATGGTGCTGAAGTCATTCATAAATCTCTCAGCACATTATTTTTATATATATATATATATTATTGAATTTGTAATAAATGTACCGTTTTAAAGAAAACATGAGTGAGCAGGTAAAATACCTTTCTTCTATTTCTTATGGGGTCCATATTCAACTGTAGGTTATAACAGAATGGCACAATCTTAAAACAGAACATGGCAACAAAGAAAAAAATGAAATGACCCATGTTCAAAAGTCTGCATACCCTTAGCTCTTAATACTGTGTATTGCCCCTTTTAGCATCAATGACAATGTGCAGTCTTTTGTAATAGTTCTCTATGAGGCCCCTAATTCTTGCAGGTGGTATAGTTGCTCATTCGTCTTGGAAAAATGCCTCCAGGTCATGCAAAGTCTTTGGTCGTCTTGCATGAACTGCACATTTAAGAGCTCCCCAGAGTGACTCAATGATATTAAGGTCAGGAGACTTTGATGGCCACTCCAGAACCTTTACTTTTTTTTGCTGTAACCACTGGAGGGTCAACTTGGCTTTGTGCTTAGGGTCATTGCTGGAAAGTCCAAGAGTGTCCCATGCGCTACCTTTGTGCAGAGGAATGCAAATTGTCTGCTAGTATTTTCTGATAACATGCTGTTCACAAGTTTCCCTATGCCTTTAGAACTCATACCTCCCAAAACATCAGTGAGCCACCACCATGCTTCAGTGTGGCAGTGGTATTCTTTTCACTATAGGTCTTGTTGACCCGTCTCCAAACATAGCACTTATAGTTGTGACTATAAAGCTCTATCTTGGTCTTGTCACTCCAAATTACAATGTGCCAGAATCTGTGAGGCATGTCAAGGTGTTGTCAGGCATATTCTAAACAGGCTTTCTTGTGGCATAGGCGCAGTAAAAAGACAAGGTAATAGGATGTGCCAAAAGGTCAAATTAAATAAAATACAGATAAGTCAATCACAGGCATACCAAATGAATAAAAAAATGTAGGTAAAACCTAGAAAACCAATAAAACAGGTAAAATAAAGTAAAAATAAAGTCTTTGTAGTGGGTATGCGTGAGAGTTCCTAAACACCTATGTAGACTTTATCCTTTCCTAAACTTGCTAATCACCAGGATGCTCAGGGTCTGTAGATATAAATAAAGAGAAAAAGGAAAGAAAAGGACTCCAATAGTGCAATAAGTTTAAAATTAAATGCAAGGCTATAAAAGAATTCCAATTGATTACTCACATGTAGTAGAGCTAAGACCAGTTCTAGTATGAGGTCCATGTAGTGGTATTGATCCCCCACTTATAGGATATCAATGAAAGGTGTAGTCAAAAGGTATCATAGCAGCAAGTTGTATACAGGAAACAGAAATAAAATAGTGACAATAGTGATCACTGTATAAAATTAATAAACCCAGAGTAGTATTACATAAAATGTACTCCCAATTTCCTGAGCAGATAACCTGATCAGTATAATCAGGGTGGGTGGTATAATCCCCACCTGTGGTTCTTGGTGAGATCCTCACTGGAGAAGTAAAAACAGGATGCCAGGTAAAAAAATAAATTAAAGCAAAGAAAAAGGTGTATGACACAATATCAAAAGAAAGTAGCCAATAGACCTTTATGAATACAAGTAAACACAATCCACAATGCGTTTCTTACAAGTAGGGCTTTATCAAGTGGTTATCCATAAATAAAAGCAAAGAAAAAGGTGTATGGAACAATACCAAAAGAAGGTAGCCAATAGATCTTTACTAATACAAGTTAAAACAATCCACAACGTGTTTCTCCAAAGTAAGGCTTTATCAAGTGTTTATCCACTTGGTAAAGCCCTACTTGGGAGAAACGTGTTGTGGAGATCAGTCGTATTTTCAAAATCAATGCCACAATTTCCAAATTTTGGACAGGGTATGCAAATTCTTGAGCACATCTGTATATATGTACCGTAGTCTTGTAACTAAATCCCCACTGTTTTGCCAAAGCGAGGTATTTAAAAAACAAAAAACTAAAAGCGCTTTAAAGCTAAGCTGAGTGCACTGTATAATATATATTTATAGAACATTATTTACAGTATACATCACTATTACTGAGTTACTTAGTTCAGGTTTTTCAGATTCACATATTGCAAACAGGTAAATATCCAGCACATAGCCATGACATCTCCATAGACACACATAACAAGTGCCTATCATCTGATGCATCACTTACTACAGAGTACCAACTCTAGAAGCAGCCCGACCATGCACATGTTGGATGCAGGATGCGACCTCCGATTCCATCACATCCCCCGGCAACAATAGATACCAGGGAGACGTACACGATCATTTCATGCCAAAGGGCATCTGTCTGTGCAAATGAACACTATTACCTCCCATGGCAAACCTTGATGACTGACAGCCCGTACATCAATAGGGTGTTATGGAGGCATGTCAGAATAGGTGTGCACAACTACCTGTGTTATTTCTGCTCTCCTGGATTTACCTGATCTTTGACTTGCCCCTGCAGTTTTGGACCTTTACTGTATTGATGTTGGACTTTTGGACTGCGTGACCTTGCCTTTGCCATGCCCTGTTGGATTTGTTTGCCTTGAACTTTGTTTTATTATATTCATCTGTGACGAGACCAATCTCGCCACTGTGCATTGGAGGAGCCTGGTTGCCCGCCTGCTGGCTTTAGACTATGGCCCCATGTTGAAACGCTTGATTTTCCCATGCAAAGACACGAAAGCCGGGTCATTCGGTGCTTGCCCTGTTTGAGCGGTG